GAAAATCATGAAATGACTGCAGTATTGCAGAAGTGGTTTAAATACTATGAGATGTTAAATAAAACACAACAGTTGAGGACTACTCCTGCCTTATCTTTTAGATGTTTAAGATTTCTGTTTTGTGATATTTTCCATCACAACCATTATGATAAGTTTTTAAACAGAAAAATAATCTCTCTGAAAATTTGAGAAAATCACATGGTCAAGTACTAGAAGACTGTCAACATTGATTTCTGATGTGACGGGCCTTTGGTGATTCTATATATATCTGCTCTTAAACTGTGCTGCTGCAAAAGGCTTTAGAAATGGATTACTGGGAAACAACAGGCTAATGAAACAGTTCTGGAATAAGCAAATTTTCATGCTGGTTAGCTGAAAAGGTCTGAAGAGAAGAAAGGATCTTTGCTTGCTTAGACCTTCAAAGGAGACGTGCAGGAACAGGGTTACCATGAATTGGACTTTCTCCTCACTGTGGTGCATGAATGTTTTGCATAATGCTCAAGGATGCTGTTTCTTGCTTCTGGCAGATTTTGTCTTTTTCACAATGTTGGTATTTTAAACAAGACATTGACAGCTCTTAATTACAGGCTTCTTTTCTACTTTAGGAATGCCAGTGTGATACAAAAGTCTTTAAAATACATTTTAAATCCATATGCATTTAGTAAAAAATGTAATGGCACATTAGCTTAAGTCTTAAGTAATTCATTTAGATTCTGATCTTGCAAATATGAATTATGCTTAGGCATAAGAATCTGCATGTATATAGGATCAGGAATAGCCACTGATAGACTCTTTGTCTTCATTAGGATTGTTTATATGCATAAGGATCAATTTAATATTATGGCTTTGGCAGAATCTCATGTAACACTTGCAAAGGGATGAAAAACACTGCAGGATTAAGAGTATTTCATCTTTATAGTAAAACAAGGCTAAAAACTGCAAGCCCTTACCTCCAATACAAAACAAAACAAAACATGCACAGGTTCACCCTGCTTAACTCTTTTTAGACAGAACTCCTGTTATTGACACATGTATTTCTACCTGACCATTTAGATTCTTCTCAAAGATGTGGAGGAACCTGTTAAGCTCACAATCAATACACTTCAAGTTCTCCAGAAAGAATATCAAATTACTGATCCTCCTACTTATGCTATTAATACAAAAGACTAGGAATGACTACCAGTTTTGTCCGTCTAGCATTTGGCTTCCATTCAGGTTTATTAAACAAGCACAATATTACAACAAAATAATGTAAAGGATATAAGCTGACTTACCTCCACTTTAAGAAGTACACAGCCTTTCAAGAACTCTTGGATATTACTGATGCAATCAGCTTCATTTTTAGGCTCCAGACAATACTAAAGAAACAAAATCCACTGAGATCATTGCATTACCTTCCGCATAGCCTCTAGTCAGAAGGCCTGCATGAATATTGACACGTGTGTTTTATACTGAATTAGGGAAGCTTCTTAAGGGGGCGGATGGGGGTGGCAGGCAAGCTGTCGAACCAGGAAGAAAGAGCCACTGGAGGAAGTGATGCATAAATTGAAATGGTCGGCATCTTGTTTTGAATGTCAGCATATGACAATGCCCTAAATGACAGGGGGAAATTGATGACTTTTAAGAACACACAGTCCCAAACCATCAGATAAGCAAAAGGAGCTAGCAAGTTTGTTTGTTTTTTAATAATAAATGCTCCTGTTTTATAGTGCAGATTTTTTTTTTTTTTTAATTTAACAGCTTCTCTTCTGTGTTGCCATTTCCTATCTCTCACTGGAGTCCTTCCTTTTTTTTTTTTCTCCTGCAGTTATATAGCACTTTTAGACTGTTTGAATACATGCCTTGTAAAACTGTAATATGAGGTACTCACATGATTTAAATGACTTCAGTACCAATGGATTTGCTGGACTTGGAACAGCTCAAAATTGCATAGATGTAATGTTAATTTATTCCTAATCTTGTTCTCTAGGGTACTTCCTGATTAGCGAAGTGTTTTACAGTAACAGTTCTGAAAGAGTGTATTTACACTGCTGTAATTCATGGTATTTAAGTAAATGTAGACAAACTGCATATCCTATTCAACCCCACGATTTTCATCTCTGGTAGGCCCAGTGTTTCCTGTCACTGAATGAACATGCGCTAACTCAGCCAACTGCAACCGTCTGGGGTTGTTTTTCTGGATGTCAAGAGACAAAACCAAAGAAGTAAGGCTAAATCATATTCTGCTCTCAGGTGTAACTAGCAACTTGAACGTTAATCATTCATCTAATTGATGAAGAAAAGAAAATGTTCTCTCAAAATGACCGTGCAGTTATTTCAGACTAGCAAAATACATCTTACGAGAATTACCTTTTCTGCAGATCCCGGAAGAAGTCGATTGATGAGTCTACAGAGCACGGTTCCATCTTTCAGAGAAGTTTTCAGGAACTCCTCTGGATCATCTACTATTTTCTTAGGGGAATTCAGAACTCCTAGGGAAATAAGCCACGTTACAATTTGCTCTTCTGGATTCATTGCTGAGACTTCTGCCACCAGCGCAGTTCTGCGCAGAGGCTTGCACTAACCCACATCCGTGATTACATCTTCCTGCCTCTTTTGCTGGTTGCAGAGCTCAAATGTGAAACTATTTTTCTCCCTCCTTTTTGCTCAGCACCAATGCTCACCAAAGCTAAACAATCAGAAGTAATGTTACTTTAAGGTAAGAAACAACTTTTTTTACAAAACGCTTTCTAGCATGCTCTGTTAAAGAGACAGCGAAAGCAGATCTTCAACTATTGTAAATAGAAGTATTTAATGTGGATATTTTTATTCCACAAAACCTCTTACCTACTGACTTTCTCCTTTTGCCAGACACTATCATCTTGTAAACCTGGTCTTAACTTGTGGCTATTGCCCAAAGTACTAAATGTCTTTAATACACTGAGATATTTACAGAGTTAAAATTGAAATTCCCATTACAGATGACTGGGGGTGAACGTCACACTAACTTTAAATAACATTTCTTAACTTTTTCTGTAGTAAGCCTTGTTAGTAAAATTGCCATTTTAGTTATCTATTTTCAAGACATTTTTTAAAAATAAATTCTGATTATCCACTTAATGTACAAAAAAAAATAAATGTATTTTTTAACTGTTTTATGTAAGAAACACATATAATCCAAAATGGTCCTTTGGATGAAATGTAATCTCTCAGAACAAGTATCATAGGTAACTCTGAAAGTTCACAACTAAGTCACCCAAAGTTGCAAATGAAAATTTCCAACAATTTTACTTGTCCTATTAAAACGGCACTTCCTACCAGCTCTTCAAGATCTACTGTCTAAAGAACAAGTGTTTTCAGTTTTTCACCCTGAACTGGGAGATATTAACCATCAGTATCAGCCACATTAACTTAAAAGAGCCCAGTCATTTGCAGTCTCCATTTGCAACTGCTTTCACCAGCTCAAACAGAAAATAAAGCAATTTTCCCATCAGTTTATGATGCCTACCTAGAATATTATGGATTAAAGTAATAAAAGAGGAACAAAATATCCCAGAGACAACTTCTCAGTAACAATATTCCAAGCCAGTTCCTAACCTTGTTATTGCTTTCAAGACACCAGCTCTGCTGAACTGCTTACACAGTGATTTCAAGTGTAGAGAGAAATAGAACAGCAACATGAAAGCTACATACAATGAAAATGCATGGCTTTGTCTCATCATTTTCCAGGTCTTATGCTTGGTACTTGGACCTACCTAATTATCACTTTTAATAGCCACCAATAAGAAATCAACATTGCCTTTTTAGGATTATACAGACTTTTGACCTCTAACAGGATGTGGAGATGAGTTCTACACTGTGTGAAAATATAGCACATAGCAGCAGCCAGCGTGAACAGTAAAGCAGGCTGAAGCTAAATCACAAAACACTGCCATCTGGGAATGTGCATCTATAGCTATCCATATGTGTGCAAAATGTTTCAAATTAATTACAAGACCTTTGGCATGTTTTTGTTGTTGCTGTAGTTTGGTTGGTTTAGTTTACAGTTCTTCTGAGCACTACTCTGTAGAACTGAATACAGGCAATCTCCATGTTCATAGCTTGCTTCTTCTTTTACCATACCTACAGTAGCTAAGACAACTGGTAATATTAATTCATCCACTGGGGTCAACATGTGTATAGGAACACTATATATATATATATGGAAGACATCCACTTCAGCCATCTAATCAAAACATAGCAAGTTTCTGATATATACGGCAAGAGATCATGTGCGTCGCTATTTCAGTAGATGGAGAATTACACACTCATTCACGGACCATGTCACAAACCTGAACACAGAATATGTCACTCACTCTCTCCTACAAACTTTTCTACAAACTTCCCCCCCCCAAAAGATAGGCAGTTTTAGAGGTTTATGCCTGTTTGCATGTGTTGCAGCCAGGCATGTATTGTGCTAATGGTTTAAACTACAGTTAAATGAAAATACTTCCTGCATCCTGAATACTTAACAAGAGCTTGAAAGGGTGACCTCTTACATATTCAGACTCTCCCCCCCCCCCAATTTAAAACATTTCAGGTAAGCCACTTAAAAGCCAACTTTTCAGAAAAGCATCAGCACCCAATTAGTAATCTTCCAGTTTGTTCACCTACCCTTACAGTAGAATTAGGTCTGTTGTGGAACCCAGAATATGAAAGTATACCACCTACCAAGCAAGGAACAATTTCTTGTCTGGTCTTTGGAAAAAGCTTCAACATTGCTTGTTACTTAAGAGGAATGAAACAAATGAATTGTCTACCATCTCTTGCAGAGTCAACCTCTACCCCCAAGTTACCAACAAGCTTTTATTTGCAGCCTGATTTACAGCAATAATGACCATATTACAGTATTAGTTTTTGTGGTTTGTTTTGTTTGTTTGTTTTAAAGGAAGGAGGAGGTCTAGATCAAATTAACAAACAGCATACAAAATCAGTAACAGGAGCAAGTTACAACAAGTAATAAGGATCACAAAACCATTCTAGAGTGTTTGTACACAAGTCACTTTTATGTAACTTTTTTTTCGGCACAGAAGAAAACACCCAACAGTGCTTTACATTTAAGCCATTCATTTTCAATGTTGAAGTCTGAAACACAGCACATGAGCTAATGAGAATACACCAATGACGTGAATTATGTAACATTTCCAGTACATATGAATCTTTTTTCATACAGCTTACACTGGCATTAGCTTTCAGTTAGAATCTAGTTTAGCCTGATCTAGTTAAGCTACTGCTGAAAAAGAAGTCTTACTATTACAGAGGATGACTATTTCTTTTCAAAGTAAGGTATGGTCTCTGAGACCACAGACCACTTCTTAACAGTATACCACCACTACAAAGTACTTGTTGGTAAACGTTTCTACTATGCAAGCGTAGCTGAGTAACGTGATTTTCTTAAGAACGAACACATAATGCTTTTATTTAACTATGTATTTATTAGCCCAGGAAAATATTGCTATTATACCTATTTGCTATACACAGGCAGACTTACTGCTAGAGTCTGCAGTCTGTAACTGAAGTTTAGTGATACTCTTATACCAAAAAAATAAGATAGTTATAAATGCCTAGAAAGGGTATAAATGCTTTTTCTGCCTTAGCTACTTATTAGTAACAGAACTGTTTAAATGAGAAAAGTTTGTCTACTGTTGAAATACTATAAACTGTATTAGCCATCACTAAGTACTTCTGTCAATGTGAAATTAGTTTGACATTCCAATGCCTGAGGATTACTCTCACATACATTGGCACATCAACACATATTTAGGACAAAAATGCGTCAAAACCAAGAAAATATTCTGAAGAAAACATCGTTTCTATGGAATTCTACACCTGTTAAAAGATGTGCTGCTGGGTGGAGTTCTGTAAGAACCTAGTATACGTAAAAACAGATCATTCTCGAGATTTATCACTACATCATCTCAGTACATCAACACTTTCTTACTCTACTCCAGAAGGCTTGGAAAATTATAAAACTGTTAATGTAAGAATACTGTAAAACTTCTGATGGTTTCTTTGTAAGGTAGAATTTGCAGCAATTTAGTCCTTTGCAATTTAGGTGACTAAAACCTACTTTCATATAACTGGCTATTTTTCATCAGAGAGGGAAAACACTGCATGTGAATACCCTGGATTATTTTTCTGCTGCACAATCTACTGATGCATGAATATTGAGACTCTTGGAAGATGTTCACTGCAAGACACAATAACTGATTTCCACCTATCTGAACATATTTTGTATCCAAGAGATTAGTAGCACTAGGCAATTCCCTGAATGGTAACACAACCCTCTAAAACAAATACTGGGTAACACCATGCTCAAAAGACAAGTTCTATCAGCTGCTTTATGTTATCCTTCGATTTTCCAAGCATATCCACTGCTGCACTGCCATCTTCTAGTCTGAAAAAAAGGAAATTCAAGTCAGTATACTCTCAGAAACTAAGAAACATAAAAAAAGACAAACTGAGTTGTTTTTGCATATTCAACAAATACATTTGGCTTATTTCCAAACTGTTCTAGGACCATAAAATACATCAGAAGCTAACCACAGTAATTAAAATGATCTGAAAACAATTTTTAATGATATGGAACAACAGTGTCTCTAGACTGAGTACCAAGTAACGCCCATGCGTACCCTCCTCTCTGATCCTGTCTACCAGAAAAACCCACTGTTTTTTGACCACACAATAATCTTTTAAGAAACTGGTACACACAAAGGTACAGATTATAAATAATGTGCTATAAATTAAATAAAACGTAGGATAAAAAAGTGATCAGCTTCCTGAACTAGTACAATTAGTATTTTTTTAGAAAGTTACTATTACCTTTCCTGCCAGGCAGTCACTTCAGTTCTATTTACTGCTCCCTAAACTAAGATTGTCATAATTCCTATTAAAAACTTGGAAATGTTAATAAGCTGCAGAGTAGGCTGAGAAAGCATGTTATGTTATATTAATTACAACATGGCCCACACTAATTACTATATTAATTACAACATGGCCCACACTAAGCACTAGTAAGTGACAAAACACGTCTAGTAAATTAAGTAGCCCTTAATTTTTAGAGAGCTTTTTGCCTAGAGCAAATCAGGGGGGAAATTTTCTACTTCCCAACTAATACAAAGAATTGAAGCTAACATGGCATATATGTATTACGAAGTTGAAAACATTCTGACACAATCTATATGATGATTTGGCAAAACCTTTTAAATCACTTAGGATGCTGCATATTAAAGACAGTCCGTTATCTCTGTTAGAGAATTCATGACCTGGACCAGCCTCAAACTTTAAGTTTGATAACTGACTCCTCATTTTTTGTAGGTGGGGAAGGGTGGGAAAAGAACTTAATTTAAGATGTATTTCCCTAATCCACCTTGGTACCCCTATTACTGATACCAGTAATTCAATGAAAGAAAGGGTTGTTTTTCTTCATCCTTAAAAAGACAGTGGTAGTTCAAGCTTTGTCCCCTGTCCAACAGGATATGTGACTTTAATATTTTAACAGTCACACTCAAGAGTGCTACAGAGACAAAGAAAGTAGCATTTTTTGTTCATTGAGATTTTATCAGTAACAGCAAAATATTAAGTTGGCCAGGTTAACAGCTTTTATTTAACTATGTGCTTTTTACAACTCAGAATAGAAAATACACTTGATGCTTCTGTTTTTATCTGAAATAAAATCCAGTACTCTGAAATGAAAGAGGAATTTGTCAGGAGCATGTACAAAATATTACTGTAACGTTCTGACAAAAACCTTCTATATAGAATCTTAGAAAAAAACTGTAAGCAGACTGAGATTATAATACCACACAGTATGCAACAAAACCTATCCATTCAAGATGGATCTTCCCTAAAATCAATGATAATGCATTAAACGAACAACACTATCAAGTACAGCTTTTTCTTCTCACCATTTCAAAGCTGGTTCTCAAAAGCAGTACTTGAAAGTAGCATCCAAATATGTTCTTATATTTATAGCATACTTTGAATACTAATAAAAAATTCTTGCAAAACTTCCCGAAGTATACATGCTTCTTACATCAGTACTGCCCTTGAAAAAAAGGACTTGCACATATCCTTCACTCTATGCTAGTTTTTAGCAGGCATTACACACTTTTTTAAAAAAATAATGTTTGTTTAGTGGACAAGTTCGCCAGGGCACTATATTAGTGGGGCAGCCACTACTGCTTTCTTTTTTCCTGCTAAGTATCAGAGAAACAGAACAGTGACACTTTCACATGAGGTCTGAACAGTTATTCCAACACTGACTTGTCCCTCAACTCACAGAGAAAATTAACTTTTAATGTGGTAGGCTTTGAAATCATGAAGAACAGCTGACCTAAGAAGTTTAATGCAATCTTTGACATGAGTGTAAGCCTGGAATTCAATCCAAGGACACTTGCAGATTAACTCATTGTCGTAGACTACGCTTACTGTAACTATTAAATTCTACATTCTGCATATTTAACAAGACCGATTAAAAGTCTGTACCAATATCTAGTACTTGGACTTTTTGGTCTTATTTAGTGAAGATTGCTAGATTAAGCAAATTCTGCATCTTTATTTATGATGGACTTATAATCATATTTTATTATCTGCTGTTCTTAAAACTGCTGGTAAGATTGTCATTCTTAACTTGGCAATTAAAAAGCCCAGCAAGACCACCTCCTCCGAAATATGCTATCAGCAGATCAGGATTGGTTACCCACCAAGAGCATATAACCAAATCTATAAATACAGAATCATAAGAAATCTTCCATCCAGCTACTTCATTAGTACAATAATTACCTGTTCTATTAGTACAGGCAACACTCATGTCTGCCATCCACAGACGAACCAGCATTACTTCATTGGCATCTTCCAGAAATTATCATCCTGCAATCAAAGTAAGATAGAACAAACTGAGAAGAGTACATTTTATAATGCAAGTCAACCTACAGTGCTTCCCCCCATTTCAAGTCACAAGCTTGGGTTTGCAGATTAGTCTCTTGCAAGTCTTACTACTTCTCTTCTAAGTGGTGGAAGATTCACTGGCTTGGAATGGACTGGAATGACTTAGTGATAGGTTGCATGGCTTATGGATTCTCATTCCTTTTCAATGGTGCACTGCCATGTTAAATCCATAAGTTGAACGACAAAATTTACTGAGGACTAAACAGTAGCACAATGCTTTTGTTTTGTTTTTAGTTGGAGGTCTTCATGTCTATTACATTCAAGAGCATCTTTTGAACTTCGTGGCTTTACCTGAGTCATAACTTGCCACAGGTTCTGCCACATGTGCTAGATATCCCTGTAACGCAGTGTCAAACTAGTCAGGCATCCAACTAAATGTCAAGTTTGCAATGGCTTGCTTCAAACTCCCAATAGCCGAGATGGTATTTGTCAATCTAAACCAATTCCTGATTTCACAAGGCTTTTATTTTTATAATAATAGTATATGCAGCCTGTTTAAGCATCTTCACTGAAAGATACTGGGCACAAAATATCCCCTCCCAACCCTACTTCACAGTATTTTGTCTAACAGCGAGCTGCATTCTCACGTCTTTAGTTTCAAAATCAGTGCCATAAATGCTTTTATCCAAGAAGAAATGTTGAATTTGGAGAACTTCTAATGCATTGAAGCTTTTCGTTTCCTTTTTTTTTTTTTTTTAATCTAGACAGCACTTCCATTGCCATGACGTGCAGCTTGTCTTACTGTACTAGAGGAAGACAACTTGATTCAATTTTGACTTAGACTGAAAAACTAGTTTGCTTTGCTTACCATCTTTGCTGTTTCACAGGCATTTGATGCTTTAAATCAGCTGTGGAATGCTGAAAGTTTCACTTGTTTTTATGAAGCCATAAGCCTTTGAGAAGTGGAGAGAAAGACTTCCTTGCTTATCTTATTTTCTCCTTTGGAATCAAAGATGTTCCTTTAAAAGTGAAACACTACAGAGTTGCAAAAATTTGAAACAGTATGAGTAAGCATCGTTTTGCAGCTTCTTTGATGGAATTGGTCAAACTTTTTATTTTTTACTTTTTTTTTTTTTAATACAGTATTCTGTAGCTGACTTACAAGTACATGGTTCATTTGAAGGGGACATCTTTTTAAATTCCCCATGAAACAGTAGGAAGGCAAAAAAAATAGTATTATCCACTTGCTTTTTCATTCAGGTTAATTGAATGATATCCTCTATTTTCTTTACACAAGGATCTGAAGGCATTTTGAACTGGGAACACTGACTTCAAATTCTAGACAAAACTGAACTTTGTGTGGAATATCCCCACCACCCTCCACATCACAATCAATACTTTAAGAATGAGATGCTGAATATGTAGAACAATCCAGCTCCATCCTAGATGGTTAGATGTTGTGTGGAAGATCATAAGAACTGCTTATTCCATTCATGAGGAAAGTCAGATGGGTAGTGTGGCATTTCAGGGAAACTTTACTTTGAAAATTACAACACTAGTACACAGCTCAACTTTTATACATTTAACATCTGCCTTTTGAAAGAAATGTTAACAATTTTGAAATGAAATTAAACATTGGTTTAACTTTTCTTCACAAAAGCATAAAAGTCATGGAGGGGAAAACTTAACAGGCAACAATAAAAAAAAGGTAAAAACAACTTTTCCTTTTAGTAGTCCTCTGGTAGTAAAGATAGAACAACTTCCACTTTTTTTTTTTGTTTGCGAAATTATTTTTCTTGGTCCAAAAAATTTAAGAGTGTTTTTAGTATCTGCTTCTGCCTCCACCTCTGTCAGATCTGCTTCCACCACGGCCACCACCTCTGGGTGCTCCGCGGCTTGAACTACTGTATGAATCACGAGGCGGTGGATAGCCCCTTTCCATGGATGGGGGAAGACCCCTGTCTTGTCTTCCAACACGATCACGGCCACTTGAGTAGACATCACTTCTGCTGCTTGAGTAACTTTCTCGGCTTCCATATCCATCACGTGTGCTGCCGTAATCATCATATCGACTGCTTCCACCATAAGATGGCGGGGGCCCTCGTGCAGGTGGAGCACTACGTGAGTTACCTGCAGGGTCAATGGTCAGGTAATATGGCAACACCATAAGTTATATATAACAATTTCAATCTGAATTTACAGAACTGCTGTATTAAATGTTTACTGTTACTCTTTTGTATGTATCGAGATGCTCTTTATATAATCTGCCATGTTAAGGGTACTTAAAGTGGGAATTGAGTATCAGGCAGTGAGTGGATTTAAAGACTTTGAAGGAATGCAGACGGTGTTTATTCAGGCAGGCTCTTTACTGGGTATTCCAGAACAGCTTGTTACTTTAGAGAAGAAACTCAGACATTTTCCAGAGATAGTTGCAATTCTGAACTGTAGACTTTGCTTCTTTAGTTTATAGCTTATTTAACAAGACGATCAAATGATAACCAACAACTGCACTTTCACTGTAGGGGAAAAAAGTGTGCCACTTCCCCCTAAAACACGAGCAACCTAGTAAAGTCAGATTTTAATGACACCTGTAAAAATTACTATGTGAACCTCAAAATGAATTCTTACCATAACTCTCATATGAATCTCTGTAGGATCCTCCACTTGGATGATCTGAGTAGTCTCTGTCACGCCCGCCACCGTATCCGTCACGATCACTGTAAGAGGAAAGACTACTGAGACTTAGTATAAATCAGCTGGACCACAGCAGAAATAAAAGGATATGGACAAAAATCCAGTAGTAGATACCTATAGCCCCTCGAGGGGTATTCATCACGTGAACTGGAATGACCATAATCACGATACGCATAGTCCCGTGGAGGTGGCGCATAGTCTCTTGTATCCCTGGAACTGGGATAATCTCTGCTTGAGTAACTACAAAGAACAAGAATCGAGTTGTTAACTACATGTCACATTTTGAAACAATCAGGTATCAAAACTCTTCTCAGAATAACTTAAAATTAAACCAAGCTAAATTAGTAAGAAAACTTACCCGTCTTTAGTGCTGTAGCCATCATCTCTTGGAGACATGTAGACATCTCTTCGTGATGGCATCGGTTCTCTGCGTGGAGGACCACCATAACTGTCTCTCCCACGTGACACAGGAGCTTAAGAGAAGCAACCCAAATTTTAGAATTTAACCAGTGCTTGAACACACAGAACACTCCTCAAGGCAGTATTAGCCAAGTATTAGTAAACTCTTTACAGTGATTTAGGAACACCATCTGCAGTTTACCTTTGCAATAATTTATATTTCTGCTTGTATAGTTTTAAAGCAGCACTAACAGGAACATCTTTAGAATCACACTGAATTGTACCAACAGCTACAAAGTGGTGTAAATAAGAGAACTGACAGATTAGTAAAGAGAATGCACTAGTCCAGAACAGATTTAACTTAAAAAAATCAAGGATTTGCATTAGTTTCTGAAGACTAACGTACTGCAAGATTGCTGACTAAGCAATAATGTAGTTTATCAAGTTCTTACCTCGTCCTCCCATACTACTGCTACGCACTGGTCCTGAAGGTGCAGATCTTTTAGGTGGAGGGCCTCCACTTCGTGGAGGTGGACCTCTCTTCATGGGAAGTGGTCCTCGAGAAGACCCTAGAAGGGTAAGCCACACACCTCATTACTTCTGTGGTACTCATCTATATGCCCTTAAAAGCCTGAACTGCAATAACTGCTGTTACCACTACCGTGTCATCAACAGCAAACCTCTAATATTAGGCACCTCAAAACCCCTTTTTCTTGTGTTTTGGCCACTACTAGATGCTACTGGCAGAATTGAGAGCATGCCAAATTAACTTTTTCACAGCTTAAATTCCTTTTAAGAATTGTCTTACAGAAGTGAACCGAAAGCCACAGGGTGTGATGCAAGGGAGAAAGAAAACTGGTATCTGTCATCACAGCTTAAATGCTGAACGAGTTACTGTCCTCAGAAGACAAAAAGCCACCTGGGAAGATGTACTAGAGAAGATCCTACATAAAGAGGGAACAGAGGTACTGTAGGACCTACTACACAGACTCTCCAAGAATGGAGTTCTCACTATTTCCATCTTTTCCCCCCATTACACCTCAGGTGCTGCTGTATTTTTAAATGACTATTTTGATACTGAAAAGTCTCTAAATAAAGATATATCTAAGTTAAAGAATATCCAGTATCAAGTAGCATATTACCCCCCCACTTCAGAAAACTTCAACTTAAAACACTGTAACAAGTAATGTTTAACTTCCCTAATTGCCATTGTGACCCAGAAGGATCAGTCATTTAAACACCTACAGTTTACTGAGTTTAGACCACTTTCTACATACAAACAGAAGGCAGTTCCCTGTCCCTGGTGGAAGAGAATCACTTTTTCAACTTGAATACCAGAAAGCTTCCTTTCTCACGTGCAGGGCAGGAGTTTTGTTTTTCTTTCATAGCCAAAAGTCAGGTAGAGTGTTAGATGTAGAAGGGAATCTTCATATTTGAAAGCCTTTTTCTTAAGGTGTACTTGCCCAATCAAAATTTGACTCAACTGCCGAGATCATTATTAAAATGATGAAATGTGAACAAGGAGTGCACTATTCAGCTCTTTGACTTTTCCAGTAGGATTACTGTCATCTTCCAATGGGATTGTCTTGTATGTTGTCCAAGTATATAATGAGATAGGTAAATACATACCCAAGTGACTCCCTCTTGAAGGTGGTCCTCTTGCGCCACTTCCGCCTCTTCCACCTCTAAGGCCCCTGGGAGGACCTCTGCTTCGTGGAGGGGGTGGCGGCCCACGCCTACCACCACTTTCAAAGGAGGGCTTGGTTGCTTGTTCCACTTTAATTGCTTTCCCATCTAATGACTAAAGAAGAAGCTGCTTTACTTATTGCTCAGTCATGTTTGTATTTCTTAAATTAAGCCCCTCTTGCTTCACTATTATAGGGCTTCCATTTTATAAAGTTAGAGCAACTCTAGAACAGATTTCAGTCTTCAGCATTAGTCCCCATGTACTCAGCAGCATGTTGGGCCTATTTCTACAGTACTTCATTCTTGTTGTATTGATGAAAAATACACAGCAGCATCGAAAAGGATTTTCAGTCAAAACAAGTGTCCAATGACTACGGCAGCCCCATGTCATTTATACTGTAAATGAAATATGATTTATGAGTTCCAATTTACTTCCAATTGCCACGAACTTTTGTACCAAACTGACCTGCACCAGTAGTTACAGGATTAAGCTGAAGGTATCTTAGCTTCAGTTGGGGTTTCTGGCAATGGGGAGGCCGTTTAAGTACATTTGCTTGATGTCCTGATTAAACGGTGATCGCTGAAGTATTTAGAAGTAATTTCAGCATCTACAAAGCAGATTGAGTATGGTAATTCACCCCTCTTTTCTACTGTTTCAAGCTGGGTTTTCAAAGAGGTGACTGCCACAAATTACTCTTACTTGCTTTTGCAGAGGGGACTTTTCTTTGAAGTGTATTTTCTGGAGCACAGACCTGCAGTAACAGGAACTCTGCAGCCAGCTTATTATACCTCAAATATGAGCAGGTAGTAAGACATATTGAGTAACTTAAGTTTATCAAATTTCTTTATCGCCTTTCAGACACCTCACATTTGGTCAAGAGAACAGAGTCAAAATCACAAGCTCTGCTGAAGTTGGCTTACTGCACATCTATCCTGGCAAATATGTTTATTTGCCTTTTTGTTAAATATCTGACTCTGCTACAATACTTAATGAATTAGAAGGGAAGCGCTGTTAATTGCACTTCTTCATTGCAATAATGGTCAAAAACTGACTGCCACGAGTATGTTACTCTTGATTGTTTTATTGTGGTAAATAATCACCAGCAATCTTCTTCACTAAAGTCTCCCTTTCTGAAATCATCCACTCTAGTAGCTCATGTATTCTGCCACCAGAGTTGTACCTATTGTTTGAAAAACCTGTGTATATCCAAAAGGTCTTGACATTGTGAAAAAAAATACTAGCAAAAACACACTGATCTTGTCTTTGACTTAATAGAATTCTTTTAATTATATGAAGTTTCTCAAAAACACATCTGGCATGACAAGCTGAAACATTCCAGGAGAACGCATTAATACCACTAATCCCTGGAACTTAGTTTGTATCTCATAATTTTGCCATCACATCTCGTATCTCAGTCATCCTTCTCAAAACTGGAAAAAAGTAGGCTTGAAGCCTTAAACTTTGCCATCACAACTGCTGCTGTCCTATTTCATGAGAAGTTCCCGACAGCTTGTTTGATTTTGGAAACCAAGTATCATCACTTTTCATTACCATGGGGTTTTGAGTATTTGGATGTCAAGTCAGTGTGTTTTTTTGATTCGCTTTTTTAAATGTAGGGAGCAGAGTTTTCCCAATGATTTCTACTATTTCCTTATGTCTTGAACCCATGCATCTCACCAAGGCAAAACACAGATTTCTTTTCAAACTGCTTTCCAGCAGTCCTGAAGTCCAAAAGGTTTTTTTAACCCAGAAGGCGTTTGTGAAAGTTTGTCCTATTTTAAAGGGAGGGAACATTTTCATGTTATCAGTTTTCAGGTCAAGTAGAGAGAGGTCTGATCTTAATGAACAGATAAAACTCAGAACAAGCCATCTCAGAATAAGGAATTGTTTTTCCAATGGGCCCAAAGAAAAAAAAACAACACTGTCAAAATGAACTGATTAGTTGGTGTTTATAATCTTGAATCAGAGTGTTACAGCAGCATTTGTAGTATGATCTGGGCACCATTGAGTGGCATCACCTTAGTACTAGAATGTGGGGAAGTCTACTGAACAATCATCTAAGGCTAGTAGTAGATTTGCAATCATAATTAAAAACTCCCACATGTGAAATGAACAACCTGTACCATTTTGTACTGTGCCAGGGAACCTCAAGCAAACAATTAGAGAACTGTCCTGCAAATTGCTCATTTTCTGACAAAGAAGTTAAATGTAGTGTATTTTGAAAACTTCAATGGCCATAATTTAAGAGCTCCAAAGAAACTTGCATGAAACAGCAGCCTAACATCACATAGGGTTTTCCTCTCAAATGGAAGATTTCATTATTGATGCTGCAGTGACTCCACCATGTTCTTTGACATCACATCACGAAGGCTTCCTTTTGCCAAATACATTCAAGAACTGAAGATAATTTCCTATCAGGCTGAGCTTCTGCTTATTTTATCAATTCTTCACCAGAAGAATGGGAAATAAGTTTCTGATGATTAGAGGAAGACAATCTTCTCTAGTGCTGAGTACAGTTTAGGCTGTCATTTGGGTTGTCGTATTTGCTTCCAATATCTCAACACACTCCAGCTGGCTTGGCAGCTCTTCAATTGGAAGAATGGAATGCTTCAAATGGAATTTTATCTCTGGCTTGTCCCGGATGTTTCTCTAAGGTCATGTTCTCTTTAATTATAGATTTTTTTTTTCCCCTCAGGGCTTAAGACCAGAAGTTCACAACAGCCTGCTTCACAGAATGTTCAATACATGCTTGGAGTATTCACACTTGTATTTAGATATGCAGGTCCATTTCATGACATCAGGATATTGACTTTACTACCATGCAATTAAGATTTTTCTGAAGAATTCACTCTAAGATTTTTACTAACATTTTTTACTAACATTTTTACTGTGCTGCTCAGGCTAAGACTGATCCAATTCTGCAGAGAAAATAACTTTAATTGAAAAAATTGCCCTTCCCCCAAAGCTATTCTCTCCTGACCTTCTTCAGGACTGAAATTTTCAACAAGCAAGTGGAGACTAGTTTATGCCTGTTCCATTTTAAAACAAATTCTTTAATCCTTTTCTTCCCTACCCCCCACCCCCCAACACAGCAACTGCAGATACACTCTTGCAGAAATCATCGAAGTCAGCCTCTTCTACTGGCTGCAAGTTTAATTTTTCTTTGGAATGACAGAATGAGCTACACACAGGCCACACAGAACCTTCTCCCCTTCCTAGACTGTAACTTAATCCTTATAGGTTGCTTGAACTATTTATTGTCTGCACAGTACTTCTGCTACTGCGTCTTTTGAAGTGCCTGGAATTTTCATTAGAACTCCAACCCATTGCTTCCAAATGTGAATAGAAGCTTCCATTTCAGACAGATTAGAACGATCTCTTCCCACAGCATTCCTCAACCATCACTCCTCTTCAGATCTAGAGTAGAGTCTTTTTGAAGTACAAGCATCACTTATTGTCCAGAAGGCTTTCTCAAGATGAGGACGAGAGGCTACCTCCCAATAATCTTCCACATCTTCCATATCCATGGTTAAACCATGCTAGACCACTATAGAATTGGAATGATATATAGTAATACCTACAAGGTTTATGTTAAATGATCATTCTTGGTCAAATCCTGAGTGAGAAAGTTCTTTTCATACTTCGGTGTTCAAATTTCAAAGCTGATGGAGGCATGTTTAGGCTTGCAGCTCTGAAGACAGAATCCATTAGAATGATGACCCACAAGGCGATACCTTCTAGCAGTTCTTGAGTGATGCATGTGGTGCAGTCCGAAACAGACATCTCAGACAAGCATTAAATCTCATTTAGCTACTTTACTGAGCATTATTTGCATGAATGTTTCCAATGTGATCAAAAAGATTAGTACTAAAGATCTAGATCAGTCGGTGTTTTATTTTCAGATGCATTAAATGAAAATGGTGCACTCCACAATCAATTCCTAAGATAGTGACTAAACTCCTTTCAGTCTGACAGTTTTTGGTGCTTCAAGTTACCATATGTGAGGGTTCAGTGGAATGATTAATTCAGAGGAAATCAGGGTTTCAAAACTGCAGGTAAACAGGTCTTCAGAACTGTAGCAAACTACACAATGGGAGGTACATTTAGTAACAGGTACACCTTTAAGGATGTTTAGACCAGCAACAGAAAGGACCTTATCTGACTTGTCACTCTCCACCTTGAGAAAAATGACTAACTTGTTTAAAGAGGAAGCAAGCCTCTGAAGAAAGCAACACTAACCATCATGAGACTCTCCTCAAGCACACAGGAACTAAGAAGCACACACGGCAGACACAAACCAAGGAATAACGACATTTTACTATATGCATTCTCAGCGAACACTAGAAAAAGATTTTTTTATTGCTAGAAGCACAAATACTTATATGCATTACCTATGGACTGCAACAGACATTTTTCTTTCAATTCAGTATCTTGCACCAACAGCTATTAAAAACCCAAGTGTTATTCAATCATTGTTAAGTAGAGGCTTTAACCTTACAAGAAAGCACCACCAGAAGCACTTCTTACAGAAAGGCCGATTCAGCATGACCTTAACACCTGACCTGTTCAGATTATGCATTAAAGACCAGAGACTGAAATTCAAGTTAACTGAGATGACAGCTTGCACTGTCTAAAAAGACAGCATCTCTTTGAAGATAGGCTGCTGTTGACTATTAAGTTACAGACTTGCATCTATGTTTTCAAACACATCCTGAAAAAGACACAGATCACAACAGCTTGTTGAAGGAATTTACGTTATCCTGATGCTAATCTCAGAAGTTTTTGCTCCAAATTTTCAGGTTTTATTTTCTTTTAAAGCCATTAAATACATATTAGTTATTTAGTATTTTCTCTAGTAAGTCATACAGTTCCACTGTAGGGTATAAACAAGCAATTCAATTGCTAGTTAACTGCAGAACTATTTCACAGTAACTAGAAAGACGCTCCACATATATGCCAAGTGGGTTGGCAATGCAACTCACATATGTAAGGACACCTATAAATTAAGGGTGCATCAATGCACCACAGAGTAGGGAAGTCAAATTAAACCCATGTTAAGGGGAACATTCATAGTTTTCAGGTAAGTCACTTCCTCAAATTGTAATTTCTACAGTACTACATTCAAATACAATAATAAAAAAAGCATCATAGAACATGAAATAGTGAAGAGCTGTCTACTAGAAAACCATTTATCACCAATTGAAAAAGAAAACTATGACTGACTGATGGTCAGGCTTCACTTTCTACTGTCATATCCAGGATAAGGAAAACATGATTCCAACTTCATGGAAGCTCAGAAGTAATACATTTTGACAGATTTAAAGCTATGACTTGTCTCCAGGATCTTCTAGCTGACTGTCTTTCCCAGTGTTATAATTAGTTAATTTACTCCATAGATCAGTATTTCTGGTTAGCAGCAACAGTAAAGCGTGATTGATCTTAATTCCTACCTTTCCATTCATGTCTCTGGCAGCATCTTTTGCATCTGCTGGACTCTCGAACGTTACAAATGCAAACCCTCTGGACTTGTTGGTTTCACGATCTTTCATCAAGAGGACTGTGGAAATAAAGCTTTGTTATTCTTTTTCTGTAATTAGGATACAACACAGCCTTTATTTAACCTTCAAGCTCAGAACTTCTTAGAGGACGTGAAGGTATCATCATTTCAGATGATCAACACCAAAGAGTCATCACAGCTAAGGTTTTTTTAATCTTATAGTAGCAAGAGTATTGTGTGTTTTTTTTTTAATTGTTTTTACCTTCCACAATGCGTCCATATTTGCCAAATACAGCCTCAAGGGCTTTTTCATTTGTCTCTGTGTTCAGGCCCCCGATGAACAGTTTTCCGGGACGATCTGCTTCAACCATTTTGATGCTACGAATGACCTATTAAAAGCATACAGCTGTCGTTAATAAAACATTAAACTAAATGAGGCTTCCAGACAACCCCATGGAATATTCAGCTTTCCTCAAGTGTTCAAGGAAATTTTCCTTGAGTGGGATGTCAAGTAAGAGATCTGATGTATAATGGATAAAAAAAAAAAAAAAGTGTAATAGGCTAAGGCAAATAGGTATTTCAAATAAAGTCAACTTTGAGAAGTGAAGCAAAGCACTTTTAACATCAAATAGTATTGGTGAACATGGAAAAGCAGGTTTACTGCCTTTTTGCCCTTGATAATAATCCTAGAGGCTCTTAAGCCCTGCCACAGGTTTTCCAATAAACATACTTAATACATCAAGATAAAACCAAATGACTTAATTTAAAGCCAGGTGGGCCAATCCTCCAAATTAAGCACCACCTTTTACATTATTTTAAGAACATCGAGGCTACGTCAGTCAGTCTTGGCCAAGACACCGCAGCAGCCTGAATGGATGCCACTCCATCACTGCAACCCTGCACAAGGAGGCCACGGCTGAGGGGTGCGGGGAGAGAGCAGAACAAAGACAAAGCAAAGCCTGGCAAAGCGCCTGGCGCCTGTGGCCGAGCGTTACCCGCTCGCCTGCAGGCGGGAAAGCCCGCAGCGGGGCGCCGAGACAAAGCAGCCCCCTGAGGCGGGGGCTGCCGGGGGCCGGAGGGGCCGGGCCGGGGCTGCCTCAGCCTCGCGGGCGGCGGCACAAGCCGCGGGGGCCGCCCCCTCCCTGCCCCGTGGAGCCGCGGAGGGGAAAAGGAGGAGGAGAAGGAGGACAAGGAGGGGGGCGGCAGACCCTCGGCGCTCTCCACACACCTCCACAAAATGGCGGCCACCTCCGGCGGGGACTCGGCTCCCCGCCGGCCCCACACGACGACCGCCTGGACGCTGACCCGAACGCGCGGCCCGACCCCATGTCCCCCATCCCTCCGCCCCAGCCTCCTCGTATCCTCCCCGGGGAGGCGGCGAACCCGCGGCGGGACCCCGCGCGGAACCCCCCGCACCTAAAATGGCGGCCGCAGCGCGCCCCGCGCGCCTGGGACCCCCCCGCGGCCCGCCGCGACCGCGCTGCTCCCTCAGCTCCGCGCTGCGCGGGGCGGGCGGGCGGCCAGGCCCGGCTCCACCGCGCCTCAGGCCCGATGCGGCGGCCCCAGGGAATCCCCGGCTGCCTCACCTACGCACCGCGGCGCCGCCGCCCTCCGCGGCCGGCCCCCAAGCGGCGGCGGCGGCGGGACCCCGTTATCCCCGCTGCCCGGAGCCCCCGGAGCCGCCCGGCACCACTCACCCCCGCTCCCGCCGTGCCGCAACTGCGCAATGAGGGCGAACAAAGGCGCTGCGGGCCTTTATAGCGCTGACGTCACCGGCCGGCCGGGGCCCCGGATGCACGCGGCGCCGGTGAGGAGGGAGGGAAGGGGGGGCCGGGGTCTCCCTGGGGCCGCCTCAGGCCCCGCGCACCGGGGGCTCCGCGCTCGGGGTGCGGTAGGAGCGGGGCGGCCTCGCTACTTTGGAAATAAGGCCCAGTGAGGGTCGAACTCGGTGGAAGTGTCTGTGTGGGAGTTCAACACTTGGAGCGGTCTCAAGGCTCAATTAATATATGTGTATGTCATATGGCAGGCGTACGTCAATGCCCCTTCCTCAGGGACTTAGGGTGACCTGAAACAAGCCTGGTTTAAAATGAAATATATTATTCACAACACGGATTTTCCCACTATTTCAACTACCTCCATTTTTAATTATACCTGAAGTTGAATTGTGGCTATTTTGCCAAGTAAATTTGATAGCTGAAAAGTTGGAAAGAACTCTGTGCATAAAGAAATTCGCTAGGTTTCCATAGCTTGCATTTGTGTTTCATCTAAACTGTCAGCGAGGCCTGTTTTCTTACAGTCACCCCAGTGTAAATATCACTCAGTCTTTTAACTTAAAAGCAAACATGGATTTTTCTTTCTGTTACCTTCTTAAAAAAAAAGGTGACAAAACCAAAAGGGAAGTTGCCTGATTATTCTGTGAGGTTGTAAACCAGATAGCTGTTTTGTAAGTCCTTTCTCAATTTGTTATCTTTTACAAAAATTCAAAAAGTGTAGCTGGTTGCTGGGATTACTAATGTCATTCCTACTCTTTGCAGATCCCTTAAATTGATTCCTACAAGATGCAAAAAATAGGGAATTGTAGTGTAACGTTTTAGGGGGTTCATATAATTCCTAACTCATCCTTGTACATTGAGGGAATGATGACAAGATGTATCACAGTAAATTAATACACCTGGTTCCTATACTGAAATCCTACTAGTTAAAAACCAGGGAGCTCAGAACCTCAGATGAAGCTCCCTCATCTCAGGTTTGAGTAATAGGGTGCCAGCGGCCAGTCCCTGTGCATTCCTAGGCATGGATTTTCTGTGCTGCGGGATGTTAACTGCGGGGGCCAGTTTCCAGAGCCACTCCATGTTCTGGTACTGTGTCTGCATCAGTGGCATCAGGTCACCAGTGGCTTTTCCTAGGGCTTCTCAAAGTAATTGGAAGGGGTGGTATAGTTTTCCAGGCCGTGTTGTCTTGTGGCAGTCAAAGGAGACAAAGAATAAGGGTCCAGCTGCACATTCTCATCCATTTTCTTAGCACTTGCCCAAGCCCTCTGTGTCTTGTATTCACTAATGTGGCATTCTTCAGACTGTTCTTCCTCAGAGGTGCCGCAGACTCCACAGACTCTTATTCATTCTGCCCAGTGCACTTACAGTCATGTGGCTACATAATTGTCACATCCTGATAAGAGAACACCAGACCCTATTCTTATCTTAAATTTTTCAGTCCCTTCTGTTCAGTTACTGACATTCAACTGCCCTATGTGTTAGTGAGAGCAGAAGGCAACATTGCTTCAGACTACCTCATAGATCTGCTGAGAATACAAAAGAAGGTAGCGCTCAAACACTCTGGACTGCAGAATGTACTTAAAAGATAACTTTTCAGCATAGATGCTACAAGTTTCTGGATGATATTACTGTCTATAGGAAAAGGGAAAGATGACCTTCTGTAACTCATGCAGAAGGGCAGTACTTTGGATCCTGCGTTTTTTCATCAAATATATTGGCCTTTCACCAAGTTCATCATACTTTGGGCTTAATCCAGATAAAGGCATCAGGAGAGCTGGGGATGAGGAGTACATAAATAATCTGATCACATAAGACTTGTTTTGTGGTTTTTGTTTGTTTGTTTGGCTTCATTTTTAGAAAACCAAGCTAACAAGCATACATAATCACAGAAAACAGATCTGCACATACAACATCGAATCAAATAAGCCTGAAACAAAATATAGAGAACAACTGCGTATCTTCCAAATGTTTGAGCAGAGAAACAATTAAAAGTATGTTAGAAAATGTAATCAGAACGAATAAAAAAGGAACATAATTCCCTCCAGATATACAGTCCAAAACTAATAACTGAAAAGATCAGATTAATACTTCCATGACAAGAACAATTTTCTGGGCAGCTGTCACTTGATAGGTATTTGTAGAAAATCAGTATTTTTGCTCTGTGAAAATGAGGGTAGAGTGGATCAAAGCATCACAAACCAATTGTTTCTGGGATTAACTTTTGTCAACTTTCTCTAAACCTCAACTCCATTATGTGTTTCTCCCAAATAACCTATTTGGGATCTAGTTGTGCTCCCTTTCAGTTTAGCAATACAAGGTGGATCACAATTCCCTGATCTATAATTGGAGCTTCCTGAAATGACAACTCAGTTTCTCCAGATTCAACAGAAAAGACACGTGAGATAAGTAATCATTACCCTTCCTTTATTCTTTCTCCTTTTGCCCAGTGCAAAATGGTAAAGGCAACACACCACTGATTTATGAGTTGGATAAAATTGTTGTGCATAGAAGTTTTGCATGGGAAATGCAAGTGTAACTTCACAGATAGATTGGAAACCAGAGTGGCAACAGGTTGCCTAAGCAGGAATTACAGAAAGGAAGATGGAGACATTACCTACCCTGGATCAACAGCAATACTTTTAGCTTAATGTCTCAGCAGTGAGTTTACGTCTTGCCATAGTGGCATGGAGCTTGGATTGCAGCCAGTGCTTTCACGTGCCCTGCTTCTCAGACAGGCTTTGCAGCTGCCCCTGGGCACTGCTCCTGCCTTTGCTACCTGAGCAAGTGGTCCTGGAGCCTGACACCACGCTCATGTGGCACCGCTGTAGCTGCATCGTAGGGGGAAGGAGCAACACCACGAGCTGGTGTGCATCCCACTGTTACTGGCCGTAAACATCACAAGCTGCTGAACCAGATATACAAACAAACAAAGATAAAACACTAAACCAAAAAACAACCAGCAAACAACCCCCCCTGCTCTCCCTACAAACCCCACCACATTTAATTCTTGAAAGCGATGGTTGCAACCCAAGGTTGCAATATCTGGGATTTCCACCCCTGATTTCTGAGCTGGTAAAGATCTAATTTAAGTTTTTCTCTGCTATGCAGGGGGCTAGAACCTGGAAAGAGGTTCTGGTATTAATCACTCATAGGAGGCTTTAGGAAAAAGAGCGCCTTTATATTTATCGTGAAACTGGAAATAAATAGGGAGCACTGCAGAAGGTGCAGCTGCGTGGAACCCAGCGCCAGCAGAGGAGTAAGAGAAGAGCAAGGAATAAAGCGAGCGTGGAAGGCGAGGAAGAAGAGAAATCGCTTCCCCCAAAACGCCCCGGAGCCAGCCCCGAGCTCCGTGAGGAGCGGAGCGGAGCGTCCGCGCCTCGCAGCGCCCTACCTCAAGATGGCGCCCGGCGCCTCACCCGGCAGCACGCAGGCGCCGCGGCCCCAACGCTGTGGTGACGCCGCCGCTGCCGGCCTCCGCCTGGGCTGGGGCTGCCTCCGCAAGGCGCTGCCGGGGGGGTGGGAGTCGGGGCTGCCGCCTCGCCTCATGCTGCCTTCGCCTCCTGAGGCTGGAAGATGAGGCTGCTGGCGGCCGGCATCTTGCTGCTGGCCCATCTCTGCACCGCCTTCTACCTGCCCGGCCTGGCGCCCGTCAGCTTCTGCGACGACGACAAGGAGAGCGAGGGCTGCAAGGTGAGAGAGCCCTGGCGGGAGGCCCGGCGGGGTTCCCCCATGGCCGAGCAGGCACCGAGGGGGCTTGATGGGGTTTCTGCGACTGAGGAACCCTTCAGGCATGAGCCCCGGCCGGTCCCTCTCGGGACGGACCTTTGCTCCGGGGAGTGACACCCGCCGCCTTCTCCCAGGCACACCTGGCGTTTCCCCCGGGAGGGTGGAATTCTCCCTTTCCCGCTCAATTTTTCAGTCATGACTGGAAAAAAAGCAAATTTCCCTTCATTGCTGCAGCCTCCTGTGGCGGCGGGGCTGCTGGGGGATGGCTGTGGCGTGGCCCGGCGCTGCGGTCGGGGCCTGTCAGAAGAGTGCAGGAACTGTGGCGTGCTGCAACTTTGGTTAGCTCCCGACAGCTGCTGATGCGCCTTGTGTTGGCCGTGCCTCTGATTTTGCAGATTTGTATTGTCATACTTCTCTTCTCCGTTTCAGTCGCTAATTGAGCTCTTTGTGAACAGACTGGACTCGGTTGAATCGGTCCTGCCATATGAGTATGATGCGTAAGTACACCACGACAGGCTTCCAGAAGCATTTGGAAAGTTTGTTTTCTGTTCTTAGTGCAGTGATACAACCCATAACACAAGTGCTCTTGTTTCCTGTAAGCCTTGTTTTGGGTGTACATAACGGATTGTTTTGGATGTACAGATAGCAGAGCAAATCCAGTGCTCATCAGCAGGACTAAAATGTGACAGTGGAAAGGATGAAAGCTAACCCTGTGCATCCTGACTACCTTCTGTTATTGTTAAAGATGAGACTGTTGAGTTTCTACAGGTTCTTTGCATTTGAGCTCAGTTTTAGACTTAGTATAGCCTGTTTGACACATTTGAAACTCCTTCCTATTTGTCAAATCCAGGAAGACAGGATCTTTGTGTTCTTTGTTTCTGGCAGCTAAAGTAATTGAAAGAAGAGTCACTGTTACTTTTCTTTTACTGCCAAAGCTCTGTATCTAATTTTTGGGTTTTATTTTCACTTTGATTCTTGTTGGTGAATACTATAACTATCTACAAAAGTACTTCTAGTAAGCAGTTATAGGCAATCAATAAAATTGTCTTGCTGTTTGATGTAGAAAAGAGAAACTTGCTGTTAATGTAGCTCTAATACTGTATAATGCAACAGTAGCAACGAGGCCACAGACCAGCTCAAAAAGTCAACAAAATCTCTATTTGCACTAAACTTTATGAAAGCCAATGAATTTAGGCCCACACATTGAGGAAAAGTACTTATTCAGCAAAGATAAGTGAATCTCTTTTTCTTAACCTACTGCTGCCCATGTTTAAATAATAAAGACACAGAATGGTTATACTTTCGCTCCAATTTTCAGCTGTTTCAGACTATTGAGTCAAAAAG